TCCCCCAGTTAAAAAAAAAAAAAAAAAAAAAAAAAGTTTTATGTGCTACCTGTGCCACTTCAAAACAGTTTAAATTAATGCAATAATATAACAGAAAATAAAAACCTGTTTGGAAAGCAGTCTTTATATGACTGAATGGATTACAAATTGTGTGATATTTTAATGTCAGTTTGATCAGTGGCAACCTGTTTTCACTCCCACAACGTCCAGTACTGCAGCTTGTATGCATGCAACTATACACACATCCGATCTTACCAATGCGAACAGTAAGCCAACTGCGTTCAACGAGTAAACGTTAAGGGATTAGATTTTCAATTTGAATGCATTTTAACATAATATGATGTAACAGGCACAAGAAAAGTAGAGTCACAATAATAAATTCAAAATAATAATAATGATAAAAAAAACTTAGAATTATAGAAGTATATTCAAACAACTTAAACTACATTCCAAGTCTTAAAGGTGAGATATTTCTTTGTGGCGGACCTAAAATTTGATCACCGTCACCGTCTGCCACAACACTCAAATACTTCAATAGTGCTTTTTTTTGTCATTTTGTAGAATAAATTATTGTGACACTTATGCTTTTATCTGTCTGTTATATGTTTAATGTTGTTAAGACGTAGTTAAGGGTACACTCTAAAAAATGCTGGGTTAAATACAACCCAGTGCTGGGTAAAATAGGGACAAACCCAGCAATTGGGTTGTTTTGACCCAGCGGTTGGGTTACTACCCAGAAGGTTGGGTTAAACATTTAACCCAACCGCTGGGTCAAAACAGCCCAATTGCTGGGTTTGTCCCTATTTTACCCAGCACTGGGTTGTATTTAACCCAGCATTTTTTAGAGTGTAGGGTTGAGCTTAGGTGCTTAAATATATATATGTACTGTAAATAAAATTATCATCTTGCTTACCTAAAAGTATCAAGATCATTTTAGAAACTTTTTAATAAAAATTATGTTATTAAGTATTGCTCATTAAAAGCAATGGACTTAGTGGGTATGGTGGTGCTATAAGGTGCTTTTGGTGTCAGTATAGCGGCAGTATCTGAGTGAGCATGGGTTGTGTATGAATATATATATATATGTAAACGGTCAATATTTTAATATACTGTATAGTGAAAACATTTCTACGAGCTACATACAGATGTATGAATCTCAATAATAAAATAGTAAACCAAGAGCCATCTGCAAACAATTGATGCTACAGCTTTTCTCATGTTCAAATTATTATTATTTTTTTTTTTTCTGAGACATTTTTGGCAATGACTTTTAAAGGCATGAAGATGTCCACTTGGACATCAGATCATTTGAAAACGGACTTAGATTTTTACATTTTCTGATAAAATTGTGAGTGATGCTTACCTGTGTAAAATTTGCTGTCATTATGTAAGGATGTTGTTTTTGGTTGTTATGATGATGCTATGCCATTCTTAAGATGTTCTGAATATTTTTTTCACGTGTATTGTGCACCCAAAGTGTATGTGTGGTATTCAGTTGCTACATCTTTCTGATGGTTATTAAGAGTTTTTTTTTTTTTTTTTTTTTAATGGCCACAAAAATCCTACCAGCAAGTCTCTTAGATATTCTAGTCCCTAGGTATGGTTTGGTCTCTTAGCCTTAGCAAACACTACTAATAACACATTACTGTTTGCCCTTTGATGCTTTACTGAGTGAATTCAAGGCAAATATCGGAGGGTACCATTAAGGTTAATAGTCCCAGGTGGACAAGCCACAGGAACAATTGGTTGTTGCTCACCTGGCGATGACGAAGAGTACACAGCTGACTCCCAGGTAGGCCAACAGGATGTAGACCCAGATATCAGGGGTCATGGGGTTCAGGAAGGAGAAGAAGCCAGAGTTGGTGCTGTTGGGTCTACGGTACAGGATGCTGATGCCAGTGTTCAAGAAAGGTTTGGAAAAGTCAATCGCTTTCTCTCGCATAAAGGTGATTGTGAGAGGAGCCACAGCAAGGTCAGCCCTCTAGAGGACAGGAAACCAAAATTAGGATCGAAGAAGTGTTCAGAAACATTGAACAAAGACAGTCTAGCCCAGGGCTGTCCAAACTCGGTCCTGGAGGGCCGGTGTCCTGCAGAGTTTAGCTCCAACTTGCCTCAACACACCTGACTGGAAGTTTCGATGCCTAGTAAGAGCTTGATTAGCTGGTTCAGGTGTGTTTAATCAGGGTTGGAGCTAAACTTTGCAGGACACAGGCCCTCCAGGACAGAGTTTGGACAGCTCTGGTCTAGTCCATAATATTCAACCAAAAAATCAACATGAAACCACACTGGCAAACCATTTTACTTCCCTAATGCAACTTATTTTTGAATTAAACAAGATATTTAACAATAAAGATATGTTAGGTAGAACCTGGCTATTCATCAGAAATTAAATGCATCATCAACCCATGTATTAAAAATGTGCCTTTGCTCCCTGCTTGTTTCATGACACCTTCAAAGTGAAATGTCCGGTCAGTCCCGCTAAAAGTAAGTTCAGTTTTATCAAAAACACATTAACATGAATATTGGCAATGTTGTATTATTTTGGTTGTTGTACGTATCACGTCAGTTGGGAAATTACATGATCAGTGAGTGGCCACAATGGAGATTAATGCTCTATCGCATTTGAAAATAGCATACCATCAGTGCTGTGTAGATTATAAACTGTAGTACATTACTGATTACAAATTACATGACAATAACATAGTATAAATTAGTTACATAATCTGGATTACACATTTTAGGTAATGAAGTCTGACTACTTTTTGATTTCTTTTTGATCACTCTCACAGAGACTTCAATGGGATTATTGTGTACCAAAAAAAAAGAAAGAGAGAGAAAGAAAGAAAATACTATATATTTCACTTGTATATTCCATTCTTTGTTATAAACATCACAAAATGCATTAACAGCACTTAAATTACTGTATGAGTAATTTGCTGCTGAAAAATAAGTAATCATGGAATCCATAAAAAGTAACTAATCGGATTATGAGAATTTTAAAATGTAATGCAATCTAATTACAAGTACTTAATTTGTGGAATCTGATTACGCAATCCAGATTACATGTAATCAGTTACTACCCAACACTGCGTACCATCTACCCTAAACCAAATCAATAGTGTTAACAAAAGCAAACCTGACAAAAAACAAAATAATAATTTGCCAAAGCAACCATGACATTTAAGCTTTCTTCTACAAGTCTTTGAGCTGTTTTATCATGTCTTGTGTACAATGCAGTACCAGGTGGGCTACCGAGCAAGTTTTCTATGTCAGAAAAGCCTTACATTTGGAGCTGGTTACGTAATGCAGACATGCAAATTTATTAGTTTTCTAATCATGCACAATGGGAAAAGTGTTTTGAGGTCATAATATAGTGTTGTGCAAGGAATTTTGCAAAAAGCATTTATTAATTTATAATCTACGAATGTAACCATAATTTATTTGAAAATAAATAAAATATGTTGTTTTGCTGACACTAGTGATTATTTTTTACTGGAAACTTCAATGAATTGTATTTTTGGAGTTTTGCCAAATAATAATAATATACAAGCACATATACAAGTTTGTAGTCAGTTTGTGGAAGACTACTTTTGTTCTGAAACGCAACAAATACAACTTTTTGTCCCCAATAATTTGAATTTCCAATAACATATGAAACAAAATCAGATTTAGAATGTGTATTAAGAAAGTAAATAGAGACAATTTCAGTTTCAGGTTGGCACAGTTGGCGTGCTTAAAAAAAAAAAAATGTTTGAAAATCCATTGTTTGTTTTTTAAAGGAGGTATCTAGGCTCTGTACTGATGTTGGAGCAATCACAGGCTGAATAACTATATGACGAAACAGAGCAATTGTTACACATATATCATTATAATATAATTGTTACCTGAAATAATATAAAAAGGTCTCTCTTGAGAGAAGTATATGGCAGCATACAAACTATCCTATCACACTCCATAACACGGGCAAATTCACACCCCAGAGGCTCAAAGTCAGTACTGCCAAGGTGACTCAACTGTTGAAACAAGTGGCCTAGTTTCCTCGCTGTCTGCTATTACATTCCCTCCCTCTCTTTGAGAGAGCAAGAGCAGGGAGGCGTTCACTCGCTGATATCTGGCTGCATATTTAGAAGGTCACCATTTACATCGCCTTACCCTGCTTCCTTCTCTCCAGGGTTGGACAGGAGGTTAATGAAACCAGCTGCTTGGTGCACGCTTCACTGCATCCTTCCCCCTAACATGATGAAACTTGCGAAGGGGCTCAGACTATGGTCTTACAAAATACTGCAATCCAACCATCATGGACTGAAGCATTTTCACGTGATGTCCTTTCTTCCTCTCACAAGAAGACTGCTGTTACATTTTCTTGGCTTTCTGTGACATTTCATTGCTGTGACCTGTGCTGGTGGTTGGACGGTGAACTGTATTGCCTTTCTTTGTATAGTTCTGTCTTTCCTGCAGCCTGAGCTTTGGCCTCTTTCTTTTTGACAGTGGTTATGAAAAGAGCCACAGTTCTGACTGACAGACCTGAGTGCCTGTATAGTACAGCATGTGGCTAACCAGGGGAAAAGAGGAAAAACCAAGAGAAAGAAAACTCCAGTGTGTCTACAGGTTGGGTACCTCTCATTAAATATTTAGATTAACAACACACCGTTTTTTCTTTTGTTCTCTCGGACATCCACAGTAACCATTCAAGACTATGGATCCGGCCTGCAGGGCAAGGAAATCCCTGCTGAAAACACTAGCATACTGGTCACCATGATGTGTTTTAGATGATGGCTCTTCAGCCAAGCTTCTTAACTGGATTAACCAGCAAGACTTTCTTGGTTGCCAACTTCGCCAGCTAATTTAGTGGTTAAAAAAGTTTGCATATGTCTTTTGTTGAGTATCATATTTGATTCATCAGGTAGTATGATATAGGAAAATATGGAGTAAAAAAAACAAAAAAACTTTTATTCAGAAACCCAAACTGAGCAAAAATACGCAATTTGGTGCTGTTGTTGAAATGTATATGTCCAAAAGAAACAGAACATAACAATAATAATAATAATAATAATATTATTGTTGTTGTTGTTGTTGTTGATTATTATTATCATTATTATTATTATATACAAATAAATAAATAAATAAATAACTTTTTTGTCCTGAAAATTTTTATTCTCTAATGATTAAATTGACGCACATGGGCTAAATAAAATGCACATACATATCTTCCATATCTTAGTAACATGATATTTAAATGCTTAGTTTTATGATTAAAACTGTAGTTTTTTTATTGTGGTGGCAAAACATAGAATGCGATGCAGTATACTGATGATTGAGAACATATACTAGCTGTTTTACAAAAGTTTAGAACATGGCCCATCCGATCAGTTTTTTTGAGCCGGTACTACGATTTTATAAAAACAAATCAATTTGCATTAGTGAAAGGTAATTACACCAAAGCCAGAGCCAGATTTGAGATACAATGTCAATTTTCGCTCATGGACAATGGACATGTCAATATCATCTGTGATAATCCTTTAAGGACTTTGTCTTTGCTTGTCAGGTCGTAATGAGAATGATTAAGCTCGGCAAAGTGCTCAGGACTGTGAAATGTATTAAAAGGCCTTACATAGTCCAAGTCAAAGTTAGTACAGTGAGACAATGAGCCAGTGCTGGTACATAACCTTCCGGTTTATCCACCGGAGCAAAGATTAATTACTATAACAGGAAGAAATGACTTGCTAAGGCAGCCATTAACACTGGCATGGCTGGATGATTAATGAGATCATCAATTATAGCTAAATCAAGTATAATAAGCCTGTTGCATCATTTAACGCCTTTACCACCAGGTCTTCTTTACCTCTGAGGGGTCTGGCCCGTCATGATCTGAGGATCATAGACAGGGCTAGTGAGCTAGCACTCTCCTGCTCCTCCCCCTTTCGGGAGTTGAGTGCAGAAGACGATACCTCACTCCCGCTTCAGAACATTTTCTCAGACTGGGTAGTAAGGTTGGACAGCCCCTGCTCAGAATGTAGCTGTCTGTGGATAGTTGTACTTCAGCTCAAACTTACTTTGCTCTGGAATATAGTGGTCTGAGGGCAAGGGGCTCATTGCTTTTAGAAACATAGCTGTTTGAGGACAGTTATATTTCCAGCTTGGCCAGATGGGATGTCCCTCCTTTTTGTACAGTGTGATTGGGTTCCCCCTTCTTCCCAAGTTATTTTAGCATCCTGACAAATATTTCAGGCAGCAGGGCTGGGCTTCCTCCCCTTTTTCTAGGGGTTTTAAGTAGACAGTCCCACTTAGGTTTGTTTCTAGTATGCTACGCTGTCTCCTCTTATTTCAGTGTATTTTTCAAGCAGGCAGTTTCCCTGTTTCTCATGCTTTGGGCTGTCTCCCCTGTATTAGGGCTTCAAGTAGATGGTCCTTTGTTTTTAGAAACATAGCTGTTTGAGGACAGCTGTGTTTCCAGCTTGGCTGGTTGGGATGTCT